GGCCCCCCCCTGGTGACACCGGGGCAGCTGGGACCTGGTCCCCGCGCAGCTGCAGGTGGCGGCGGGTCGGTCGTTGCCGGAGCTGGGGCTGCGCCAGGAGAGCATCCGCGTGAACGGCTGCGCCATCCAGTGCCGCGTCACCACCGAGGACCCTGCCCGCGGCTTCCAGCCCGACACCGGACGCATCGAGGTGCCCCCACGGGACCCCCACCCCGCCCCCGCCCTCGGACCCGCCTTGGGATCATCCCTGACACCCCCTCTATAGGAACCCCATGGGATCACCCCTAGGACACCCCCATGGGACTCAACTTGGGACCCCCCCCATAGGACCCCCCCGGGACTCAACTTGGGACCCCCAGGGGACGCCTGCAGGACCCCTCCCATTAGACCCTCATATAGGGTCTATAGGTGCCTGTAAAAGGCTCTATAGGGGCTCTGTGGGGCAGAGGGGTGCCCACAGGAGGCCCTATAGGGTCTCCACCGGACCCTATAGGGTCCATAGGTGCCGGTGGGAGGCTCTATAGGTGCTTTGTGGGAGCATATGTGGTCCATAGGTGCCTGTAGGAAGCTCTGTAGGGTCTCTGTAGTTTGGGGGGTACCCACAAGAGGCTCTGTGGGGCAGGTGGGTGCCCATAGGAGGCTCTATAGGGGCTCCGCAGGACCCTATAGGGCCCGTAGATACCTATAGAGCTATCTATATGGTCTGGGAGTGCCTATATGAGGTTCTATAGGGGCTCTGTGGAGTGGGCGGGTGCCAAAAGGAGGCCCCATGGGGCCGGGGGGGTGCCCCTAGGAGGCTATAGGGTCTCTGCAAGACCCTATAGGGCCCGTTGGTGCCCTATAGGGTTCTCTATAGGGTGCGGGGCTGCCGGCAGGTGTTCCGCAGCGGCGAGGGGATGGGGATCCGCCTGGATGGGGCCTCGGCTTTCCAGGGGGCCCTGATCTCCCCCCACTACGACTCGCTGCTGGTGAAAGTGGTGGCCCACGGCCCTGACCAGCCGGCCGCCGCCGCCAAGATGAGCCGGGCCCTGGCCGAGTTCCGAATCCGCGGGGTCAAGGTGGGTCCGGGGGTCGGGGGGGGCCCTCGTGCGATGCACGAGAGGGTGGGGGTGTGCCACGCACAGGAGGGGATGGGGGAGGTTCTTGTGTGATGCACGATGGCCCTTGTGCAACGCACGGGGAGGGGGGAGATGCATGAGGGGTGTCGGGCAATGGAGCAGGAGGATTTGGGGGGTCTTGTGCGATGCACGGTGGCCCTCGTGTGATGCACGAGAGGGTGGGGGTGTGTGCGATGCACTGGGAGGGGGGGTTCTGCGATGTACCAGAGGGCTTGTGCAATGCACGGGGGGGTGTGTGTGCAATGCACAGGGGGAGGCTCTCGTGCGATGCACGGGGGGTCCTGTGCAACATGCAATGGGGGAGGGTGGTCATAAAATGCACCAGGGTACTTGTGCACCACACCGGGTTCCCTGTGCATCGCACGAGGCGGACTCTCCCCTCGCCTCAGTGCGTCGCACGAGGAGGAAGGAGGGGGCTGATGCCTGGCCCCCCCTCGTGCGTCGCACGCTGACGGGCGCGTCTTGCGCGCAGACGAACATCCCGTTCCTGCAGAACGTCCTGGCCCACCCCCAGTTTTTGGGGGGTGCCGCCGACACCCAGTTCATCGACGAGAACCCCGAACTCTTCCACCTCCGCCCCGGCCAGAATCGGGCCCAGAAGTTGCTTCACTATCTGGGTATGGGGGGGGCTGGGGGGGGGG